GAAAGGCAAACCCTTCTCCTGCCCCACCCCGTGCACTGAATGGCAGGGCAGAAGGAGCTCATTCCTATGTCTCAAAACCCAGGGATTCACACCACCAAGCCTAAGGGAGCCCTTTCCTGCCCAGCCTCTTCTCTAGACATTGCCCATAAGATATTTAGAGTCGAATAAGGAATATTTTCAGGCGCTCAGGAGCGAGAAGTGCAGATGTGCCACATGGTCGGAGGCAAGGATGCGATAACGTACCAGCAAACATCATCATATGCTGTAAATTGGTTCCGATCTTATTTCTTCTCCCCAAATTCAGTAAAAATGACAGTGGGTAAATATTGGCAGCTCTTCCTAGGAAGATAGCAAGCTGTATTTGCACATATTAAGGAAATTGCTCTTCCTATGTCTCCCATCGCATCCCACCTCTGCACACAGAGCCAATTTCTACTGCCTGACGGAAACGCTGGGGAGCCTCAGAAACGCTGGTCCTCTGGATGCAAAGGTAATAACCCAGCTCGGAGTGCTACAGCAGTGCGAGAAGAGCATGGCACTGCCTCACCGAAGCAAAGTACACATTGCAATTCAGGAATATCATACAGAGACGAGCACAAATAAACAAGGGAAGTGATGTCAGGGTAGGTTAGATGAGTGAGCAGAGAGAAAACCCACCATTTCCCAGTGTATGCTCTCTTCTGCCAGGTCCGTTTTCCACCCCAAGAATTATTCGTCCTCTGCAAAGCTCAAGTTATCACAGCTAGCACAACCCCTCTGACATTCCCCAGCATGCCACACTTCACAGCTGGGTTTGAAGCTTTAAGCCAAGTCCCGTTCCCAGACATTATTCAGCAAAATGAAAGCAGCAGTAGTTGAGAAGGGAAAAAAAAAAACCACTAATGCTCTTTCTGTTTTCATAGCCCACGAGATACAAGAATCACCAGCCCCTTCATATTGCTTTTTATCTTTGAAGCCATGTCTTTTAATACAGCACCCAGATGGCAAAAATAATCCTGGAGCCAGTATTCAGCGCAGCTTTGAATAATATGGAAAACGCTTCCAGCTTTTATGTTCTTTCCTGAACATCATGAATTTGCATAAGAGACGTATTTCATGATCTCTCTCTTGAATGAGCTATTTCATCAGCGAGTTAGCCAGCTCCTACTGAAGAGGCACAGCACAAAATTTCAATATAATCACCCAAATGGCATTTCCCTGCTCTCCGCTCCCTTTACCCCACTGCAGCCCTTGCAAAAGCTCAATGGGGAAACCCAGCAGACCCCACTGCAGGCCCACACACCAGCATTAGCAAAGATAACAACATTTTACTTATTGGTATAAACCTGCTTCATTGCAAAGGGTGAAGATAATTCTGCACATCTGAACTGGCTTCCCTGTGATATGAAAAAAATTCCTTCAAAATCCCTGTTTTTCTGAGCCATACCAGGGCCGATAGCTCGTTTCCGTTAGCATCAGCCTGCAGAAGGGGAAATCCTTTCTCATTACATCATTCAGAGGCATCTACTGTAGCTTTAACTGTGCTATTTGATGGGAAAAAAAAAAAGCTTTTTTCAGGGTCAACCAAATGGAATAGCAGAGAAAAGAGGAAATAAACAGCTATACCAGGCGGCCCCCACTTGGAAAGCCACTCCTGGTGCCACACTGCCACATGACAAAGCCCGGTGCTTCAGCACGACATTCACATCCAACGCTGAGTCCCTGCAGCAGCTGATTTGAATGCCCATGAAAGGAGACAAGACAGAGAAGAAAAAAACCCAGAAATGCTGGGAAAAGAATCTCCATCTTCTTAAAATAACCAGGAAAGGCACCACTACACGGGAGAAATCCCCTTTTAAAAATAAAGCTAGACTGACTGAAAAAAACCCCACATATTAGAATGAAAAACACAAACTGGGAATGAAGCACCTCTCCCTTTCTTTTTTTTGTTTTATAAAATGGGCTCCAAAGGATACAAAAGCCCCCACCACAAAGGTAGGGTTAAAGACGTGGTTCTGGAAGGTGAACAGTGCAAGTCCCATGTAGGAGAAGATGAAGTTTTCTGCCAAAAAATTCAGAAGCTCAAATAACTGAAAGAGAAAAACAAATTAAAAGCGAGTTAAACATAACATAGATTTAACAAGAAAAACATGTTAGCCCATCCATCACACAATAAATACTTCTGCAGAAGCAACCCTAGCAAAACCCATCTGTAGAAAGACAGATGCACCTAATTCTGGCTAGCAGGAAGGAAAAAATGTTGAAGTTCAGAGAGGCTGAAGAGCTCTCACCTGCTTAGTTCTGTGTTGGGACTCTGTAGATAAGTTGTTATAGGTATAATGGGCCTGCGTGATCCCACAGAAGAGTACGGCCACCACACCTGGGGAGCAGAGCATCATGTTAGACTCCTGGTCACGAAAAGGGAGCTGAGCTGCACCCCAGCAGTGTAGGGGACTTAATGCAATAACCCCAGAATGCAGAATAATTAAACCTCTGAAAGCAGATGGAGAGCCCCAGCTGCAACTGATACTGGGAGAAGCAAAACTCAACAGGCCCATCATCCCTGCAGATCTCTGTCCCAGACACAGGGTTGTGCTGGAACTTGCCTGTAAAGCCACATGCTTCAGCCAGCAGGAACGTGCTCCAGGACATCAAGAAGAACAAGCCGGTCTCCAGCAACGGGAACTCCCGAAGTTTGGTGAACTTGGTAACGTTGCAGATGGTTAAGGACAATTTGGAGAGAAACTGCGGGCTAAGAGCATATCAAATCCAGTTGTGCATCACAGCAACACTACATAGCCTGCCCCTAAAAAGGCTATGGCACTGCCTTTCATTAATTTAGGCAAAAAGTCATGAAACGCTGCATCTGGATGAGATGCAGCAGAGCAAAAAAAAGAAGCAAACACTTGAAAGAAACAACAAAAAGGATATTAAAGCTGTCACAACTCCAGTAGCTGCTCCCATTGCAAAAGATCCACTGAATATCCCCAGGAAGATCCCAATAGACTTGAACATCGCTGTGACATCAAATGTGTGGCTGTTGTCACCCGCCGGCTGGTACGCAACAATTGAACTGAAAGAGGAAAGAAAAGCACACACAAGAACAAAACACTCCTTAGTCTGGAGGGAGAGGCACCTCCATGGTGCTACGTGAGCTTGCAGAGTGCTACAATCGCTGCAAACACCCAGCCTGAGAAATCAGGGAAACAAAACCCAAGTCCCACAGTGCAATCCCCCCGTGTTTACAGCACGCAGCAGCAGCGTGCTTGCCCTGTCCTGGGGGGTTTGGGATCCCCTTTGCTCCTGGCTGGCTTTCTGCAGCTCAACCACGCCTCCTAGGCAAGGCTCCGCATTTGCTCCTTCTAGACATTAGAGAGCATCGGACCAACACCCGTCTCTTGCATGATCTCCTGCAAATCCATTTTCTAGGTGACAATTCACCATTTATTATGGTATTTTGGGGGTTTGGCATCAGCTCGCTATCAAGTCGGGCACTCTGGGACCGCAAAGCATTCAAGCGGGAAGCCTGCGTTTCTCAGCTGACTCCACGGAGGCGGCTGATGTGAATATCCCTTGGAGAACTGTAAGTTATGCTGTTTTACCACATTTAACGGGCACTACATTGATTTTGCACTGCTCTGAGTTCTGAAGTGAAGTATCACAGGGTAGCAAGGCAAACGGAACAGTGCCGGCTCACTGCAGCAGTGCTATTATCTTCACCCACCAGACTTCAACAGACTTTTGTGATGAGATAGCAGAGGTCTGCCGCGCCGATCGCATCTCTGAATCTGCTCCCTCCTAACTCCTGAGCCTTGCATCAGCCATTGCACTGTTTTTCCTGGAAAGGCTGAGATGTAGGGGTCCCCAATCCATCTCCTAAATCCCATTTGAACATCACCTTCTTACATCGCTTTCTTCGATGTAAACTTACCAAAAACATTAACTTCCTAGTTAGCAATCCCTCAGCTGGCTCTGTTAAAACTCTTGGATGTGAACTTTAAACATTTGCTGTTTAACCTCCCGAGTTATGCTGGAACAGAAAGTTACCGCCTCGCGCACGCATCCTGCAGCTTTCTCCCCTAACTACGCTCTGACATTTTTCTGCAACATGAAAGGCAATCCTCCCTTTCCAACACATCACAGGTCACTTCCCTTGCTAAACTTCCCTTTTAATACGTGTCATTTTTCTGCCTTGTCTTTTAAACTGCAAGCCGCAGATTTCCCCCTGTGATTTAATTTCTTTCGTCAACCCCATCCTCCACTTCCCATTCACCAACATGCTCGTATTCTGGGGTTTGGGGTTTCGGGGTTGTTTTGGTTTGTTTTTTTTTTAAATCCAGACTAGTTTTGTTTCCCCTCCATAACCAACTGTTTGGATGTCGGTTTTGTGTTTTAACCCATTACAGTTTTCCTTCTGGTTTTGCTTTTTGCATCGCAAACAAGGCGTTGTTGCCAGCTGCCCTTTGTGTGCTTTATTTCCCCTGTCCCTGCCCACGGGGCTCTCTGTGGCATTGAGCCCCTGTGAAACCTCCCTTCGGAAGAAGCAGGTAGAGACTCTGTGGTTGCATTTACACCCCCCGCTCACGAACCGCAGCCCCAGCACCTCGCTGCCCAACGGCTTTCGGTTCTGGGTTCAATTCCTCTTCATCCTGCAACCGGTTCCCTGCCACCAAGTCAGGCCAGGTCAGGATAGCATGAGATAGGAACAGAAAGACATGGATCCTGCTCCCCGAGCATGGGAAAGGACATTTGTCCAGGGCTGAAAGCAGGGAGGAGAGGAACCTTTGGGGGGCAGCGAGCTCCTGGCAGAAACCATGGAGGAGTCCCAGCCCGGGGCAGTGCCAGTCCCCGGCTCCTTGTCCTCCCCCGGCACAGGGATGGTGCCCACAGCGCTTGCTTTGACCATGTGCAAGGAGCCAACAGCACTTCTTGGGGCAATCACCAAACCCGTGCACTCAGCCAGCCGTGGCTGGAGCCCCTCTTCACCCCCTGGGACGAGGCAGCACCCGCCACCGGCTGTCACCCAGGCAGCAGCTCCTCCATCAACACAGCCCACCCGCCCAGAAACCACCCGATTCCCCACCTTCCCAACCCACCCTTGCATTTCCTAACCGGGGAGCAGAACCATCCCCACGTGGTTCCCCCACTTACGCCTCTGCTGTAAAACAGGCAAATGCCAAACTAAATTTAAAAAAGGGGAACCATCAGTAGCAGCTCTGGACTGCTCTTGGAGGAGCTCTGCTCCCTGGAGCAAGAGGCCCTCGCCTCCTCCTTACACCCAAGATGTGGCTGTATCCAGGTGACTTGGGGCTGTGCTGGAGATACCTGCACCAACCGATCCCTGCTGTGCTGACCGGGGCTGCCTTACACCACTTATGGTGACCGTGAAGACAAAGACCACAGCAAGTTTTAAAACGGGTACGGGTTAACTTCTGAGAAGACCTTGAGAAGTCAGCATGCTGCTGGGCCAGTCTGCACAAAAGCCTCGCGGCAAAATAACTGCTGACTGCAGCTCAGAGCTGCTGTTTTGGTGCAAATTATCTTATTTCAGGGAAGGGGGGGCGGACTGAACTCAGCTTGTGGAAAGAGGAAGGCAGGAAATCAGAGCAACAGCTACGAAGCTGGTACTGAAACAGTGCAAGAGGCAAATCACCACGCACGGTGCAGTCACCTACATGTGCAGACATCCACCACCGGTGTCATTACTCGGATGCTGAACCCATCCACTCCCACCCAGAACGCCCCAGCAGAGACTGGAAGACCCCGTCTCCTCCCCACTTCTTAACCACGACCTGGCTGTGCGTTTACTCTCGCACCAGCGGTGACACATCCAGCATAAAAGCCAGAGTGAGCAATACAAACAGTTCCAGAAACCTCAAACAGAAACGTTCAATTCAGTAAATACAACTCATGCGGGTGGCGATACACAGCTCACAATATGTTACTGGCTGCCTCCACCTCAGTAAAACCCACGCAACCAGCACGCCGGAGTGACAAGTATTCCAGAAATATTTTCTGCATTAGTCTTAGCTATACGTTAACCTGTCACCATTGCAGATATTATATATTTCCAAACAAATTCCTGTGATGACAGCACAGTGAAAACGCAGATAAAATACGTCCTATGTACAGAGGACATAAAATATAAAAGAATATAAAACATTCTTTAGAAAGCCAGCGGGTTTCCCATGTGTTCAGTCCAGGACATTAACTCCAGCTGTAAGAACGACCATCTTCTTGATGCACGGAAAGTGGGGAGAGAAAGGAATCGCTGTTTTACCAACCATTTCCACCAAAACAAAAGCAGGTATTTGTGGATGGGAAGGAAGAAAGGTAGGAGCAAAGCCATCAGCAAAGGGTTTCAGGGGCATCCCGTGGCTGAAAAGCAGACACGATGCTTGCCCATTTCAGAGGGACATAAAAACTTCCTTCTGGCTGGGTCAGCCAGCCATAAAAGCAAAACAAAACTATCCATCATGCAGGGGGAAGTTGTAAGGACAACCCGCAGCCCTAAGCTGCGGTCTGCAACAAGGAGATGCATCAGAAGGCCACTACAGCTTTTGGGGACGCTTAATATGGAAATCTGCTCTTGCAAACACCAATGCTCCTATTTTACAGGAGCAAGGCCGAGTGGCTCCCCCCAACGCGACATGTAACATACATAACAAGTAAAAATAAAAACAGAACACACTTACGAAGACAGCACTATGGCAACGGCATCATTGAGGACGCTTTCGCCAAAGAGAAGGGCATACAGCTCAACATCAACCTGGAGTTCATGGAATATGGCAAGAACAGTCACTGACAAATAGAAAAATAGAGAGACATTCAAAAAGGTGCTGTTATTTTGGTGTACTCAAAGACAAAACGCCCCTTTCTAGAAAGCTGTCTTCCTACACATCTGTGCCGCTCTGCTGCAATGGCGCCAGCCGCCCCCCGTGCTCCCTTTGATAGTCTGCTTTCTGCCCTTTCAGATTTGGATTTGCTTTATCATTTCCCTCCTCCTCCTTTTACTAAACCACATCCCAGGCATTGGGTCTATTGAGTCTTTAGCGGGCAGACATGAGCAAACTCTGCTCTGAGCTTCCTGAGGGCCTGAGCTTGTGATCTGGACCACAGTACCATGCTGACATGATGGTTTTGGGATGCCGTTAGCTCGGAGCATCAGGAGGATGCAGGCTTGTCCAGGATGATGACTGTCTTTTCCTTCCACCCCTGATACTCCAGGAGAAATCATCGGATTCAACACAGGTTGACATGCTGGAAGTGCCAGTGTTAACATCTCAAACCTAACTGGAAAAAGCCAGGCATCGGCTCAAACCCCATATGGGGGTTTCTTGAGATTTAGAGCCACGTGGCAGAGATGGGAGTACCCTCGAGCCCTTCCGCGATCCAGTGGCTCCAAGAAGATAATGAAAACGCAGCAGGCTTTGCATATCAGCCTTGCAAAAACATCACAACATCTAAAGCAAGCAAGATGTAACACATGGTGCATCATGCACAGCTCACGCTGCTGCGGAGGGCTGAGCTAATTCCAATCAACTTCTGTGAAAGTCCTTTAGAACAGCATTCAGGGACCCATCTGTGCAAACTGAAGGGGCTTTAACCCATTTTAAGCACAGGGAAATGCTCCATTTTTATCTGCGAAATCGTCTTGTTCCTATTTCGAAGCCTGAAGAAGGGACACGATGCTGACAGCTCATCTGCAGCATATCTAAGCATTACTTCTACCCACAGTCCTTGCCTGGCCTCTGTCCATCTGCCATCAGATCCACCACACCACCATCATGTCCGTGAGGTGCTCCCCACTTTGCAAACATGCCTCCCTCTCAATGTCAACACCCCAGCTAAGCTATGGGGAGGATGCTCGACCTCGCAGCCACGTGGCAACGCCTCCCCACTAAAGGAACCAGTGGCCTGACCACACGCCCACCCAAGACATGTTCAGAGAAGCTGGGAAATCATTTTACCTTATTTTTTTAAGGTTGTTTTTTTTTTTAATAAAAATATCAGCAGTAATAGCCACACCAATACCTGGCAAATCTTAGGGAAACGTAACAAAAAAATTATTAAAGACTCATGGGGAATGCACATCTTGCATCTCCACCTGGCAGACAGATGTGGCTACTGCCACGTATGCTGCAGGTTGTCTTCTGCAGTGTTATTCTTGCAGATATGCATATGCATACAATGCTCCTCGTTTTGGCTTTGAAAACAGAAGTGACTCATTGTTAAGGTGAGCAGGTAACAGTCCCAGTTCAGCTGGCACTTGTTTCAAGAGGGCAGGCAACTTGGCTTATCCAGGCATGCAATCCCTCCCCTTCCACGCAAAACTGACCAATGTCTGCATTTAAAAAGATCCCCCAAAGCTACTGTAAAGTCGGGGTGGGGGGGAATGTTGCCAACCCCCAGTCCCCACCACACTGGTCTCAAACGTAGCAGCCAGGCTGCAAAGGAAGAAGTTCAAGCCCTGTTCAAGAAAGGCCAGAAGGGTGGAGAGACCTTTCTGTGGTCCTGTGTTTTTAGGTGAAGCTGGAACACACAAATAAACAGCTACTGAGTAAAAGTAATCGTGAACGAAGTGAAATTCAGTTGGCCAAGGCATGTTTTTCATAGTTTTGATTTACAAAGTGCTTCAGCAGACCAAGCTGTCTCTACTGTCCTCCGTACTGCTCATTATGATCAGCTTTCAATTAGATTAGCACCTTCCAAAATCTCACCCAAATGGAAGCGGAAGGTAATCAGCTAAACTGACTAAAACTACCAACTGAACCCTCCCCATGTTACACATCTTGTTCTGCATCAGCTGTTGGCACAGAACGCCAGAAACACAGCGGACCTGTCCCAAAACCCAGCGAAGTCAAGAGAGAGACTGCTAGGACTTCACTAACAAAGACTTAGGAACTTTTAGACTTCACTGACAAAGATTTAGGAAGCAGAGGTTTGAAGGTGTATTACACATAACTGGAAGGAAATAAGAGGGCATGGAAACAAATTAGACCTCTAGGGACATTGCAAATAAACTCCAAAATTCAGAAAGAGGGAACTTCCCCAGGGTTCAGACTTTCTTCCCCTCTTCACCACAACTCAGAACAGATCAAATAGGTAAAATGAGGGGGGAAATAACCATCTAACATACCTGGGTCAGTAGCCGATACGATGGCACCGAAGAGGAGGCAGTCAGTGAAGTAGAAGTCTCCCCCGAGCTGCCCAGTGACTTTCATCAGCGCCACGCAGCCATACACAACAGAGCTGGTGATTAGAAGAGGCAATTACTCATCTCTGCAGTGAGTGAAAACGACATTCAAATGGGCTCAATTCCCCTGAATTTGCCAGACTAACCCCTAAAGTTATCCAAACGCCAGAAGACTGAAGAACTATACTGGATGAGCCAAGCCTGGTGAAACCCCAGGGCCATGGTCTCGGAGGCGAGTGCCAGACCACACACACCAAAGCACCAGACCACAAACACGGCACCGGTGAGGAACCGAAACTCCTCCATGAGCATAACACGACTAAAGGAAAGCAGCAGCCAGGCTCGTGGGGTCTTGCGATCATTTTGCAGCGTTTCACATTAACACATTTCAGTGGGATGACCTTGGCCTGACTTTGAAATGGCCAAAACTTTCAGCAAGGAACAGATAATGCGGATGCTGAGTTTGCTTGAATCCACCGGACTTTCCAGCGGAAAACACCCTGCGCCAGCCTGCATGTTACTATTCAGATCGGGAATCATCGAGTTCCCTCTGCACACAGGGATAAATATCTGAGACACAAACTGCGCTCGCTCGGCACCTGCTTCCAGCAAGTAAGGACAGGACGTACATTTACGATCCTGCCCCTCTTGTGTCTCGTGCTTGTTAGGGCTGTGCTCTCAATAACTTGAAGTTCCTGCCTGTTTTTTCAAGACAATCTTCAGAGAAGCGTGAAACTTTCCCTGCCGTGTACATAACTATTCTGTATGGGATGCTGAGAAAGCACTATGCAATTAGACGGCAATCACCCTGTCCACACGGTGAAAGCTTGGGCAGTAACGAGTCTTATTTGCCGCTGCTGAGCAGCGGTAGCAGACAGCCTGTGTGATCTTTCAGGGCTGGGATTAGCAGCCGCCGATCTGGACTCAGAGCACTGCCCCAAACCCCATGGAAGAACCTGACCAGCTCCAACTACTCACCCGATCACCAGGCAGGAAATCGCAGTGCCGAGAAAAGCGTATGCTAGGATGGATCCCAAGTTTCTGAAGAAGTGCCTCTAGAAGGAGGGAAAAAAAACCAACCAAAACTGAATTATATTTTGCTAACAATTTATTTCAAGCCTGCACAGGCACCCAACAAATGTCCCTAGCAGCCTGCACTTAGCTCAAACGCCACGAGCTGGACAAGCACAGCACAACGGTGCCCAGCACAACGGTGTACACCGGCAGATGTTAATGCAGCATTAATAAACATGAATGTGTCATTTTCTTGTACCCATGTATTTAATAAGGTGCTGTTCTGAGTCCTGGGAACTGATTTTCTAACCCTGCAGCATTCCTCCTTCCTTCTCCTGCAAGCTAAGCAGGATCACTTTCCTCTCCTTCCAAATCAGTACTTCAGAGAGCTGCTGCTTTCTAAAACCTTCCCATACTCCTACATGTTCCAAAGTAAGGATGGCTGAAATGGCCCGGCTGACCTCAAAAACCCCTGTGCAAACTCATGCTGGAATTGGTTGAAGTCACTGACCCTTCCCGGGGCAGAGGGACAGACAAGACTGACTGGAGCACTCTCAGCCCTGCTTCCTACAATCCTACATGTACTGGGGAAAACCGTACCCAGCTCCGCAGCCTTGGCCTGCTGAGCAAGCATTAAAGCACTCTCAAGTATTAAAAATGCTCTGGAGGCAGAGGAACTAAAAACGTAGACGCTGTAAAGGCACGTACCCTTTTCAAGCTGTAGCCTGCATAAAATATAATTGGAGGAAGCAAAATGTTGAAAAACACTTCAGGATCAAAAGTCACCTGTGAAGGGGAAAAAAAAAAAACAAAAAAACAGTAAAATGGTTGGTTAAGACTTTGCAAGACAAAACACAAATAAGAATGTCATATAAAATGCATGGAGGAAAGCCAGTACCCCCGCCAAATGAAATGCTGTTGGGTGAAGGCTGAGGATGTGTCTGCGATCTTTGGGAGACACAGCTCAGAGTCTAAACAGCTTAAATTAAGATCAGATGAACACTACAATTTATAGCTGATCACAACCTGACTGAAGTTAAAAAAAAAATGAAAATTTAAAAAAATCACTTAACCCAGCAGATACAGGCCCCATCCCCATGGAGGGAGCGGGGAGCATCGCTCACCTCTCCAATCACCAGCTCCCTTACCTTTCTCAGCATCTCGTTATCCTGGACGTTATTGAGCTCCTGGGCGCTGATTTCCCCCTTCAGGGTGTACTCGTAGTATTTTCCGCTGACGTTGACCAGCAGCGTGGCGGGACTGGTCTGCACTTGGCAGCTCAGCGTCACGTTGTTGACATCGCTGGGGACGTGGATGCCGTAGCGCAGGACCACACCGACCAGGACCCCTGGGGAGGGACAGGCGTCGGTGAGACGAGCCAGGGCAAACTCCTGGGATGATCTCTTTGAGCATGGATGCAGCATCAGGCACATCAGGACCCCAACCCTCTCTGCTCAGCTGCTGAGCACAGCCACCATCCAAATAATTGCCCGAGTGATATTAAACCACCCGCATCCTCCCATGAGCCATGCAAATGCCCCGTGCTCGTGCAGACTTTCTAACACCAGGCATGGACTGGTCCTAAAGGCTTCTAGTTACCCAGCAATCAGTCAGACCCCCGCTCTAGTACAGCGAACAGCCGACGTTGAGGGCACACTGGTTTTCTTGGGCGAGCACCCTGGCACTGCTGGCACATAGCTGGGGACCTGGGCATGGCGCTGCTCACATGTGCCCAAACTATGCACATTGCACCTGGAAACCTGAAGGCATTGTGTTGTGCCACTACAGAAATATATTAAACCCTTCATTTTTGTAGGGGATCAAAAAAGGTATCAAGCAACCATCACGAACACTTTGAGGATGGTGAGCATCCTTCGTACGATGCGGCAGCACCATACAGCCTCCTCCTGCACCAGGGAGCTTTCGCAGCACACAGCAGTGATCCCCATTTTATAAAACCCACAAAAGTTTCCCAATCCAGGCCAACTACCCGGGCTTGCTCCTCGCCCCCTGCAAGCTTCAGCTCTGCACCACCAGCAGCAGCCCCAGGGCAGCCCCGCGAGCCAGCTCTGCCTCCGGCTCAGCTGCTGCGCAGGGGTATCGCGGGGTTAATTGGCAAGTCAGCGACTCATACAGCGCTTTTCATTTGCAGCACAGCTGATGAGCTGCGCTCTGAGGTCTCGAATCCAGATTAATGGCATTCACACTGTGCAGGCTCCTCCGGCTCCTTCTGACCTGCACGGTGTGCTGAGTGCTCCCCTGGCAGAGCTTTTTGACATCTGCAGGGTGGGGAGGAGGGATGTCCCACAAGACACCTTTCCATGTAGCCTTCAGCACAAAAGGCTTTGGAAACTCCTCGATTAAGGCAGCACTGAGCCGCCACAGAAATCCTGGATCTTAACCCCACCTCTGAACCACACATTCATGAAAAGCTTTCAGACACGTGGGAACTCAACAGAGACCGCAACACTCCAAGGCTTCTCCATTTGCCTCCCAGGATGCTCCTGCTTCTTTACTGTTGCCTTAATTAAGATCTTGCTCTGTGCTTTCCTACAGGCAGGGCACAACCCCGACCAAAGGGAACACCAAACTCTTCCTACGCTGCCATCTCACAGGGGCAGAGCCTGGGCAGGAGCTCTGCCACGGCCGGGTGGGAGATCGCAGGACCCCGGCACATACAGCATCCCCTGCAGCCAGTTCCCAATCTGCTGTCCATTTTTTGCCTTCCCTTCCCTTGACAGCAGTTTTCCAGGACGAGATTTGCTCCCTTTTCCAAGGGCCAGAAGACAAGCCCCCACCTCCTGTCCCAGGGGATGTTCATGCACAGCAGAGCCACCCAAGCACACATCCAGGCCATGAGCAGAGGCAGAAGAATCAGCTGCAAACAGACCTACCGCTGCTAACCCATCACGCTGGTGACACAAACGGCTCACCCCAGGGACCAGGCCAGCAGATCCAGGACCTTCACCCAAAACCCTGTCCCCGGTCAAACACGGCACTTCTGCAGCACAGCTGAGCTGCTCTCGCAAAGCCACCGATGCTTTTAAGCCACGTACAGTTGACCATGTGCTCACCACATGCTTTGGGCTTTATCCTGCACTGCACCCTTGGCACAGAATCTCCCCGACAGCAGCAGAAAAAGTGCCTCTCGGCGCACAACCGGGCAGAGTCAGCTCCAGCAAGGAGAGCTGTTTCAGGCACTGTCACACTGTGTGGAGCATCTGCTTTCACACCAGCATCACTAGGGCACACCAAAGAGGAATCCTTTTGCTTACTTTTCTGCTAGTCTCTTTGCTCCTGTGATCTTCCAGAAATAAAGGGAAACGAAGGCAAGGATGTCAAGAACATTGAGATGCCACAGCATGTATTTACATGCGTGTGTGGCGGGGGGAGCGGTGCATGGCACCACAGCATCGGGACAAAACACACGGGTTTCCTTTCACCCAGAAGATGATGACCCCCGAGGTACCACAGAAGACAACCTAAACTCTTCACTGCGATAAAGCAAGCTTCAGAGGGTTATTTACATCTGCTTATGACTATTAAGCAGCTTTAAGCAGTTACAGTGAGAATTAAAATGAAAGGGAGGAAAGCCAGACCGGAGACCTCATTTACCCTCTACCCTTGCAACTGCTCCTCCACTCCTACGGAGCAGACAGCACCAGGTACACTGCGCTCTGCAGCCCTCCAGAGCTACCCAGGGTGGCTTTTAAAAAGCCTTTTTAAAAAAAAAATAAAAATAAAATGTTGACTTTAGAGCTTCACGTGGGAGTCAGAAACCTCCAGCAGCAGCAGCTGCCTGTCTTTCCTCAGCTGGAAACCCATCCAGCCATCCCTTTGAACGCCCAGGCTCAGCGCTTTGAGATGAGAGGCAGGAGGGACGGACGGACATGGCTGCTGGGAATTCAGAAAGGATCCTGACTCACCCGCCTCTCCACTCTTAATCCCAAGAAGGCCCCCGCCCCCCCCGCCTCTCCACTCTTAATCCCCGTCCCAAAGCAGCGCTACATCTGATAGCACCCCTGCTCGTCCTCGCCGTCTCGCTTACCCGGGCAGCTGTTCCCAGCCCAGCGTGCCAGACGCAGCCAAATTCCCACTCTGGCCAGGAATAGGATAAGGGAAAAGGGACCTATAAACCTACAATATCTGCCAAGACTGCTGTGCTTGGAGCTCCAAAAATCAGGCATTTTATCCCCCACCGCCCCCGTAACACAATGCCTGGGAGGCTCCCAGAGCTCTCCGGACCTGGGTGGGAAAGACACCCACGGGCAGATATGCTCTTGGTGTGTGAACCAGCCAGCAACGCACCAGCGGCTCCCGACGCAGAGACACCATCAGAGTTACTTACAGGGAAAGCTTGCTGCCGCTCTGCTTAAGGCCAATTCCTCTGCCAACGTTAAGCTGACCCCACCACCAGCCCCTCCTGCCCAACGGTGGATCTCTAATCAACCCTCCCCACCCAACGACATGATGTGATGCTCGCTGGAGGCACCTGTGACAAACCTGACTCGGATGCCAAGTTTCTTCCAGACACCAAACCCAGTCCTGGGCTCAGGCTACTTGGACCCAAGCCCAGGGGACCGTGCAGGTCCTCCTGGTTCTGACGGTCTCTTAGGAAATGGTTGAAACTCTCTTGGCGCGCGAAGGGCCGCCCTCGTAGCAACCCGTGAGCCGCTCCGCCAGTATTGACATGCTTTCGCAGCTTAAAGTTTTACAAAACTGAGCCCCGGGAGGGAACAGAGCGGAGGGAACCTGACACCGAGGAAGCTGCCAGCCAAAAGCTGCAAGGAGTAGAGAAGCTGAAGGCGAAACTGGTAAATTAATTGAGTTCTTTCATGCAAAGTGCAAGAGATTATTTTCATTGCATTTCTCCCAACTTCATTAAAAAGAACAAAAGCCCATGGGCTTTTTTTTTTTTTTTAGGTGCTGTTGAACATTTCCGAGGTAAGGTTTTAAATGAAGACTAATATATTACCATTCAGGCACTTAACAACAATGGAAGCACACAGGATCCCCAGGCGAGCATTAATCTGGACACCAAAAGGAAAGAAAAATGTAGCGAGCAACTGAAGACATCCTGAGAACAGGCAATTTAGGCATACGCAATCCAGGGGCCAAGTGGGAACAAGTACAAGGCAACTAAACTTCTACAGAAGCTCCTGCCACATCCACCATCAGACCCTGAGAAGAACCGAAACACAATTGTTCAATTAATCAACCTAAACGCTGAGTACCTCGGATGTGGGAACCTCATTTTAAACACTGAAATGATCCTAAACACCTACTGTCTACCAGCGTGAAATGACTCCAGCCTGTGCCCAGCTCCCCAACAGCAGCTCTGAGCTATCGCTGTGATTTGTAAGATATAAATCCACCCAGAGCAAGAGCTCATAACTTACAGTATAAACACAGACACCGAGGAAACTCTGATGTATTTCAGCAAGAAGAGACGTATGCAAGTTTTATGTGACTTAGTTGTTGGTTTGGGCTTTTTTAATTAGAAAAAGACAAGCTTTTACAAATTGCTTCTCTTGCCCAGATTTCGGGGTCTGTTTTGCGGCCTGTCTGCTGCAGCACTTCCACATTTTCAGTGGACTTCCCCAGGACTGACAACGAAGCAGAAGTGGTACCTGCTTTGCTCCCTGCAGCTTTTAAGTTGTCACTGTAAAATAGCAGCATCTCACCGCTCCTTGGGAAATTACACATCCCTTTTCCTACGGCAGCTGTCACAACCTGAGAAGCAAATGCCAAAAGCCTTGATAGCGGGGGAAAACTCGGGATTTTCTGCATGACCAGACGGGTAATGTTACCAATTTCACCAGCCGTTCTCTAAGCACAGTCTGCAGAAGAGCAGACAGAAAAGATGCGTTTTACGGATCAGCAGGGAGACTGAAATGACCCGGGTCATCCTCTGAGACCAAGGGGAGCACTCAGGTGGGTCAGGGAGAATGGAGGACCACAAGGAAGAAAACTCCAGGAGAAGAAGAATAAGGTTAGGGCCAAGTTTGAAAGCATGAAAGGAATAGAAAATCCATGCGTCGGCGAGCTCCGGGGAAGCAGCAGGGGAAGGAAGACCTTCCGTGCTGGAAGCATGTGCTCCCACAGCACAGCTCCCATCCCAGGGAGGTGACTACCCCAGCCCCGGGCAAGAAGCCAGCAAAGCCTGCACCCGCCTCAGCTGTGGCTTGCAGGAATCTGAAAAGGCAGACCAGTATTTTGTGCCCCTGGGCCGACGCAAGTGTCTCCACCCCTTCGTTTGGAAGCACACTTCCAGTTAACTGAAACTCAGGATCACAAAAGCCACCAGCCCAAACGGGTCAAGTCACAGGCTTCAGAGCAAAGCTTTCTCCTGGGCGGGGGACTTGGCCACATTGCTGCTCTGACCAAGCTTGGTTGCGTATCACCCACCTCCAGCAAGGGCAAGGACAGAGAA